AATGGTTCTGGGGGGTTCACTGGTAACCCTGACACTGTGCTAGCTTTAAACACTAGGAATATAGCATATGAAAGGGAAATGAGAACCCACTGGGAACAACTTGGAAGCTAAAGAGAGGGAGCACAAGATGTTTCAAGTTGAAAAAGAAAGACTGAGAATACAAACAGGTATTAAAAAGCCCAGTAGCTAAGACTGAAAAGCCACCAGGGGATTAGGAAGTGTTTGAAATTTCCCCATGTCCCTAAGTAGTAGTTTAGAGCGCTGACAGTGCCTGGCAAAATGCCTCTTATAGTACAGTTGCCAAGTAATATTCACTATTGTTTCCCCATTTTAATCCCTTTATAAATGGAAATTCTTCCCTAAAAATGTTACTACTTTATAGTTTAGTGGGGGTAATGACTCCACACCTAAAGGCCTCATTCTTATATTCCCCAGAGTTCTGTTTCTACAGGCCCATGTTGCTGTGATGTCCATATATTACATTTAAAAGTAGATGAAAAAAGCTGAACTTTAAATGAATTCTAAAATATGTGTCTTAGCTGCATTGCTACTTAGTTCCAACACTTCCTCTTTCCTTCCTACCAAAGGCCAGTGTCCTTCCTAGATGGCCCACAGACACTCCCTTCTCAGCAAATCCTGAAACTGACATTTCCCAAATTTGAACCACTTTCATCTGCATTTATTCTCTCAGTGAGGATCTTTTTCTTTGGCATAGTAATCCAAACTGAAACTTGACAGTTTTTTTTTTTTTTTTTTCTCGAGACAAGGTTTCTCTGTGTAGCTTTGGAGCCTATCCTGGCACTCGCTCTGGAGACCAGGCTGGCCTCGAACTCACGAAACTTGACAGTTATATGTCTCTGATCAGGGCATGTGATCCTTCACATTCAACATTAAAGACTTTCAAATTAGTTATTCTCCAAATTTTTCTTATCTTTAAAATAATAATATGTCACTTGGTAAGTGATTGGGATATGCTGTTGTGTCCTGTAATTAACCATCATAGTTTCACAAGTCAGGTATCATCACCCTGATATAACAGATGTGAAAATTAATAGTAAGAGATGTAATCCATACATTGCAAGTTCCCACTCAAAGGCAAAGTGGAGTGGAAGACAGTTGGACTGTACACATATCAACTGTTATACTAAGCTGCTTTCAATCCAGCCATGTTATATACACCCTCCACACTGCTCCTGAAATTTTTTCTAAAATATGAATGTGATCAGGTAAGTTTCTTTTTAAACAGGAATTTTGTGTCTGTGGAGGATTTTGTAGGCAGTGGACAGTTATCATTCTCATATAAAGCAACAAAAAGTCAGTTAAATAACAAATACTACTTTTGTAGTCATCAGAGGGCATGAACACAATAACCAAAGGGGAAAACAGCATGAAACTTTTCCTAGATGACCTGATATTGGCAAATGTTTTCATTATGTCATATGTGAACATTTTTTAGGAGACAGAGTTGTGCTGGGTGTGATTGAGCCTGACATATTCCCAGCACTCAAGAAGATGAGAATTAGATGTTTTCAAGCCACTTTGGGTGGCATAGTTAGCTTAATGCCAGCTTGGACAAAGCAAGACCCTGTCTTGAGATGGAAGTGTATACTTTGCCCCAAATGTTCTGATAGCTCTCTAAGGTGATAGAATATATTGGGATACAGAGAAATGCAGTAGCTTTAGTCAATATTCTCTTTTGCATACTCTGAATACTGGTAGGGGTGGGTGTCTATTCAATAGACTGGAGAAGCAAATAAATATTTCCTATGGTCTTGCAAGATTTAAAGGGCATTATTTCTTTACCTTAAAAGGCAGAAGTCTTACCCAAGTATTCTAAATCAAAAATATTCTAAGCCCAGTGAAAACTGCGCCTCAGCCCTACCTATCATAATTTCTAGATTTATTCACAGGAGTTGATCACCATTCTCTCTACAGAACTAAATAGCCTTCACTTCAATATCTATAAAAAAGTTTTAAATTCTTGTTGAATAACAAAACTTTGTAAGACTTACAAAGAAGTCACCAAGTATGACCAATAACCAAGAAAAAAAGCAGACAACAGAAAAAGACCCAAGATATACCAGTGTGAGCAGATCAGATCCGTAAAATTACTACTATTATAAACAAATCTTGCCTGCATGACAGGTACAAGAGCATACTGCTGTAGTTCTAGCTACATAGAAGAGTGAGACAGGAGGATCATCTCAGTTTAGGACTTTGAGGCCAGCCTAAGCAACATAGAAAGGCTGCATTTAAAACAAAATGAAAGTTTTGGGAGTAACCAACCACCTACTGATGGGATTTCTCAAGGCCCATTCCTTGAGAAGGAACCCATGCCTGACACTGATGGGGTGACCAAAAACCTGAGACTAGATAGGCCATGGACGTAGTACAAAAAAAAAAAAAAATACTAAAGTCTGCTAAAAAAACAGCAAGAAAATGACTCCTAGCAATGTTTTGCTATACTCATAGATCAGTGTCTTCCTCAGCCATCATCAGAGAAGCTTCCTAATGTGTCAGAACCTGGTCCAAGAATGTTCTGGACCATGATGAGGAGAATTCAGAGTGACAGATTGTGAGAAAACAAGGCAAGAGTCTTGTGAACTTATTCTCTTCAAAAACAAGGAATTGCTCTTGGAATGTGTTACTGTGCCCCTCCCAGGTATATCAGATAGGAACAAGTTTCCTTCAGATTATTTATTACAGTTGGCTGTTGTTATTTGTTTCAATGCTTTGTGGAAAAGTATGTGCTGCTGGCCATGTGCTGCTTGTCCTTGTTATTATCTACAGCTGAACTAACAAGAACTGTATTTGTTTGAGCTTTCTTAACTCCCACAGCATAAACTGTCTAATGCACTGACTAAAGCTGGCTATTGCATGAGACTTTAATCCACCTTGATTTTAGACTTCATTCTCCCAAGTTCCACCACCTCTAGGGCACTAATCACTCCTGCAATAGGTGGGAACAAATACAGAGACCTACAACTGGGCAAAGTGTAGAAAATGAGAGACCTTGGAACACTCGGTCCTAAATGGGATGTCTCCATCAAATACCTACCCAGGATCCCTTCTCTGAGACTTCCCTAATTCTTGGGTACTAGACTGCAACCATGCACACCCATCCAATCACACGGATTCTGGAGATCCAAAATCTAGTCTGCAGCAAATACTATCCTTAGACACATCCTCTCAGTACACATAGTCATTCTTTTATTTTTTTAATTTTCCATTGATTTTACATACCAGCCTCAGTTCCCCCTCATTCCCCTCATCCCACTCCCTCTCACCTTTTCCCACACTAACCCTATCCACACCTCAGAAAGGGCAAAGCCTCCCATGGGGAGTCAACACAGCTTGGCACATCAAGTTGACAGAACCAAACCCTCTCCTCTGTATCAAGGCTGAGCAAGGATTCCACTCTGTGGAATAATCCTCTTATACACTGTAAAGATTGGTTACACAAATTGGTGTAATAGAACACTGATTGGCCAGTAGCCAGACAGGATGTATAGGCAGAACAACCAAGCTAAGGATGATTGGAAGGAGAAGGGCAGAGTTAGAGTTGCCATCAGACACAAGGGGAGCAGGAGATGAATGTACCATGCAAATAAAGGTACCGCCATACTGCAGAGGGTAAATAGGGGCTAGGGTTAATTTAAAATGTAAGAGTTAGTAATAAGCCTAAGCTATTGGATGAGAATTTATAATTAATATAAGCCTCTGGGCAGTAATTTGGGAAGCAGCTGCTGGGTATTTGGGACCAGGTGGTCAGGAGGGAAATATCCATTAACATCCTGCCATAAGGAATGGGCTCCAAAGAGCCAGCACATACTCCATCTTAAAGTTAGGCCATCCTGATGGAAAATGGCAGGATTTCAGATTGAATGGCAACCTACAAGGCAAATGTGTTGTTTCCATGCTATTCTCCTGTATTTCCTTTTCATTTGATTGTACCTTAAGGCTTTAAGTTTATGGTTGCACACTTCTATGAGAAATGAGCAGAAAACCTCAAGAAAATAAGCAAATGAGTACAAATTTAGAATGGGAAAAGTTTAAGAAAGATCTAGCAATGTGGTAATAGAAGATTGGAAATAGTGATAAGAGCTGACAGTTGTTTCTTGTTGGTAACTGAAAAATGTCTCAGAATGTGGCTATAAGAAAACAACATCCTCTTACAAACATATTGTTCAAGAGTGATATTGAACCCTATGTCAGTCACTGAAAACGTTGAGACTGTGAGTCTCTGTTGACTGCCATGGAGCTCAGTTCCTTTTGGTATAACACATTGAAAACACTCCATTTTCATCAATTACTTGAAACAAGATCTCCTACAGTGCCCATATGCCTTCTCAGTACCTCACCAAGTTTCAGGTTGTGTTGCCTGAATTGCCACAAGGCTCCTTTTGTGGAAAAGATGTCTGGACTATTATTCTTCAAATGCTCACAAATGGCAAAGGCTGGAAGAGTCTGAAAAATATAGCATTCTTGTGCACATGCTGTTTCGAAATGCTCAGAGATCATTCACTTGCATTTTTTCCACATTAAGCTTCCTTGTCCTCTCTTATTAGCCCCACACTGCAGCTGGAGCCTCTGAGACAATGCACTTTAAGTAGCCTCTATTTATAGAGGCAAGGGAAGAACAGAGGCAGATTGCCAAAGACTCTTAAATCTTTAGAATCTCATGATGTTTCTATCCCTGGTATTGGTTTTGAAGATGAAGGTTATTTGGGGGAGGAGAGGTGTTCATCTATGGCAGATTTGTGGTATCCAAGGCAGTCTTCCTTCAGAATAGGGAGACAATAGAAATAGACATTTCATGTATAGCAGCCTTCTTACTGAGAGAAGAGCTGTAAATCTTGACAACCACAGTACACTTTGTTTCTTTTATGGCAACCTACAAGGCAAATGTGTTGTTTCCATGCTATTCTCCTGTATTTTCTTTTCATTTGATTGAATTGTGTAAAGAAAGAGTGGTGATTGTATGCCAGCTGAGGACTTACTTTCAGAGAGCAAAGGAAGCTCCGGAACTTGGGGCTCATTTTCCTCTGGCTCTTCCTTAAAGTACTTGTCAGGGTCTAGAAGAAATGCAGGTTTATTCACTTCAGGCAGCTCTTTCAATCTGCTAAGGCTTAAGGACCTAAAGGTGCCTTCAAGCAGCAAGTTTAAGGGAAGGAAGAGAAGAAAAGGACAGTGTCATTAACTCTGAAATGAGCTAATGCGATTCCAAATTCACTTTTTAAAATTTAACCTTCTTATTACTCAGCTGGCACAGCTGCAGTGATTACCACATTCTCTGAGCACAGCTGAAAATAAACCCAGGGCTCTTTCTGTTCAAAGGACAAAGAGGAACCAAGGCTTCCTTTCCATTTATTTCACATTTTGTGTATTTTTCTACAATATTCCCTTGAAAATGAGTATCCTACAGTTTTGGAAAGGCTTCAATTTCTCTTTTATCTCCAAGAAAATTATATCCTTTGTGAAATGGATCATTTTTTCAGTATTTTTTTGAACAAAACATCTAAAATTTTGAATTGGCAGGTACTTTCTCATTCCACTATAATATAATATAAGCCACAGCAGCATTCTGTTTATTTTGCCTATGAAGAAATAAAGGACTTATGTGAGTCAGACATTAAAAGCAAAGGTCTGAATGAACTGAAAAAAAACTTCTTTTGTCTCAAATGGGACAAATGAGTAATGAAAGAAAAATCAATAAATGCTAACTCAAGATATGGTTTTGTGTTCTGTGCCTGAATAGTTCTGTGGGGGAAGAAACAGTTTTTACTATCATGCTGTACTGGCTATCCAAGGCCTACCCTATGCCCAGGGATCATGAACTTTCTATGCATCACAATTATCACTCAGAGACCTTAATATTAAACTGAGTCACCACATACCACCCTAGCTTCTGTTTCTTTCTCTTTTTTTGAGGAAGAAAAACAAGATGAATGTACTAGGATTTTCATTTTAATGTGTTCTAGTATGCTGATGGTGCTAGACCTAATCACTCTTTGGGAGTCAGGGTACTAAGTCAAGCATTCATCACCATTTGTTGTGTATGCTAGAAACCTTGTGTGTTGTTTAATAGGCCCAAGCCTTACCTACCTCCTTCATCAGAAGATAATAGAATCACTCATTATATTTATTAAGAAGAAATGCATTCCTGCTAGACAACATAGCTCTTTATCTTGTTCCCATTATTCTATAAAATATCATTCCATACTGTGTTAATAGCAATTACTTACTGGCTGATTTTTCTATAATTTCACGATAGCAAGGTTTATGTGCTTTTTTCTTATGCATATTTCTGTTCTTATATTTCAGGCTGAAATTTATTTCTTCTGATGATCTGATACTGGAAGAAAATAATTAAAATATAATAATAACTAAAAGGGTGGACAGATACTTTCTGCCTATGGTAATATATCTTACTTTTGCAAAAAGACTCTCTATTCTTGTGTTTGTAAGTAACTGATAGTGACATTTGCTTGAATTAGTGAAGCCATGCCATGAATAAAGTGTCCACTATTCCAGTGTTAGCATAGAAGAGAGAATACAAAGGAGCAGTCTCAGAAGGACTCTTCTATAGCTAGGAAGTCAGGGGAAAATGATACAAAAGAAAATTTCACAGAAACATATTCCCACTGCCCTTGCCTTGTGCTTAGGTGGCAAAACCCACAAAAACGGAGCATTGTTTTCATCTGTCAGCATCTCTTAAATCATGGCTCTTCTTTTATAGCATCAAAAAACCCAAAATGATCAGTACTTTATGCTTCTATACGCATCTATCAGAAAACTTTAAAAGAGCTGGAATTTACACAAAATCTCTTATAAATGAAATGTGGGGAGCTGTGCTGGCTAACCTTGGTCGTCAATTTGACTGCATCTGCAGTCAACTAAAGCCCAAGCAGCTGGCAAACTCATGAAGGATTGTGTTGATTGGATCATTTAATGTGGGAAGACCTACCCTAAATCTGAGCAATACTTTCTGCTGATATTCACCATAGAAAAATGGAAGAAGGAAGTGTTTGTATTTTCCTTGCTTGCCCTCACATTCAGTGGCAAATTCATCTATCCTTCTGCTGAGACATTCCTTTATGGGTGTTTAGAACCTATTTATTGGTTTTGCAATATTGACTGAAGATCAGCAGCTCTCTAGGAAATATTTGAGACTCCATCATAGGTTTGGACTTCTTGAGACAGCCAGTCTCATGGACTGAACAACTACTGATTCTTGTTTTTTCTGAAGGGAGACAGCTAATAAGACCATAGCTTATAAGCCACTCTACTAAATTGCACACACACACACACACACACACACACACACACACACACACACACACACACACATTATCAGTTCTGTACCTTTAAAGAACTCTGACTAATACAAGAGGGGAAACATTCTATACCACTATACAACCCTGTCAGAGAAGAGAAAATGGTCTTCAGATACTTAACATTCACTGTCATAGATGCCCAGCTTAACAGATAAAACTTCTGTTTCCAAAAGTCACTCTGAGTGTGTAAGGAGCACCAGACCTGGGAACACACACTCTCCTTAAGTCATGTGGAATGATGGGAACTGGCCTACTTCCTACTCTGCATCCTTTTCCCTTGTCTCCTGGCCTTTCATGGTTGCCACTCTCTCGACTAATAACTTTATTCCCAGTTTTGCACGGATTTTGTTAACTATGGAATCATGTGATAATTCTTAAACCCTCAGTCTCAGTTTTCTTTCTTTCTATACAAAGAAAACTCTGTGGTTGTCTTTGTTTTTTGGTGTGTGTGTGTGAGAGAGAGAGAGAGAGAGAGAGAGAGAGAGAGAGAGAGAGAGAGAGAGGTGTTCTCTTGATCATCTTTTTCTTCCTCTCTTGCTCTCTACCCCACCTCTTCTCCCAAGTCCTGTATGCTGGCCCTGTTCAATGTAATACTTTGTCTCCCTGAGCTGAACTCTTCCAGATGACTCTGTATTTACTCTCCTTCATATGTACAATAGAAAACTTCCCTTGAGCCATACCTTGAAGTTAGCATGTCCTCACTTTTACATGCCAACACCAGGGAGAACCTGGGCACCCAGTAAAACAATGAACCAGATATTTCTGGTCATTGCCTGACTCCCACCATTCTGGCCTTTGACTGGCAGTCCAACCTTCCTGGGACCCAACAAGCAGGCACTCTACTTTCAACTAAGAAGCAATTACAGAGGAGATTATGTTGTTATCATGCACAAAGTCACAAGATTGTCGGGTCCAAAAGAAACAGGAGAGGAATAGCTAACTGTGGTATCTATTAGCTTACCAAACATTCGGGCCTCCAGGCTATCTCAGAATCACAAAGTCCTGTTACAGAGTCCATGCTGGAATCCCCCCTCTTCTAAGTTCTTCTTACCCCATCCCCTACCCTAAAGTTCTGCAGCTCAAGGGCTTCCCATTCCCTCAGTTTCTCATTTCTATGTAACTGTGCCATTTTGGCCATGCAACCTCTTGGTCTTTATCTTCCTTTCTTGGCACCTTCTCTCTTGCCTCTGCTTCTTGGTCATCTCTTCCTCCTTTGCTGCCCTGCCCTTCCTGCTTCTTCTCATGGCCTGGTTTAGTCTGGCCAAATCAGTGTATTATTTTCTCTCCCTGACCTAGACTCTTTCAGGTACCTATGGTTGTATTCTCCCTCATATCTATAACAAAAATCTCCCTCTCAACTATACCTTGGAGTGGGCATGTCCTCATTTTATTCAACTATTACCTGTAACTCCAGTTCTATGAAATCTGATGCCTCCTGGCTCCTGTGGGCTGCTGTAGCCATATGGTAACTATGAACTTATGAAAAGACACATGCACACTTACAAATAAAGTAAATAAATTTTAAGAAATTATTTTAAAAGTCAATATTAGCATCTAATTACTAAACTACAAATTTTATTATTTGTGTTTTTATTATGTGTAATTGGTGTTTTTTTCCTTAATATCCTTTTATCTGTAATGTCAACATTCTCTCTACGTATTTCAATCCCAAGCCTTTTACAGCCTTTAACACTTTCCATATCTGTAACACTCTACAGGTTTAAGGGGCACTTGTCAAGTTTTTTTTTGCAGACTAACCTTTAATATGGACCTGTGTGATGTTTTTCAATTGGTTACACTGTAGTTATTGGTCATTTCGAGGAAGGCGACAAGGGTGAAGTGCTGTCTTGATTACACACTATCAGAAATACATTGTCACCTGACTGCTGACATTAACCTTTATCACCTGGTGAATATTATGTTGTCAAATCTGCACTAATAACAAGCTTACTGTACTCAATGTAATAAAATTTTTCTTTAGAAGCAAGGCACCAAACAGCCCATAATTTAGGGGAGGTGAGGTAAAAAGTTGGGTGCTAGCCAGGCATTGGTGGAGCACGCATTTAATCCCAGAACTCGGGAGGCAGAGGCAGGTGGATTGCTGTGAGTTAGAGGCCAGCTTGGTCTCCAGAGCGAGTGCCAGGATAGGCTCCAAAGCTACATAGAGAAACCCTGTCTCGAAATAAAAAAATAAAAAAAAGTTGGGTGCTATTTCTTGAGTGCCCATGTATCTATGACAGATTCATTTGGACTCACATATTTTCTAAGAAAGCTTTATTCTCTGAAAGTAAACTTTGGATATATGTGGAATTTTTCCCAGTAATGCTGGATTTGTTTCCCTCACAACAGGCCATTACCTCTCTAAGCAGGACTGAAGAAATGTCTCAACTCTTACTGCACATACTGCTCTTGCAGGGGACCCCAATTTGGGTCCCCTGCAGTGCCTATATTGGGTGGCTAACAACTGCCTGGAACTCCAGCCTCAGAAGAATTCAGTACTTTTGCCTCCTTAGGCACCTGTATTCATGATCAAAAATCTACACAGAGATGCACACGAGTAAAGATTAATAATTGAAAACTTAAGAGTTAGAGTAAGATCTAGAGAGACATATAAGGAAAAAGAATATTTTCTAAGTTAGCATATTATTTAGCTACTTCTGGGTTTCACAGACTAAACCTTGCATTTTAAGACTGTAAAGAAATCTGTAACAGTGGGAATTTGGTAGTGAATACAGGGAAGGTAGGCTACTACATAGGAAAGCTTTGCATCTATTGGATTAATAGTACATTTCACTAGAAAAGAATTGCAAACATAAATTGACTGCAAAAGCATAGGGAGTAGGAAGGTCACGCATCTGAATAGTTAAGGCCAGACCTTGACTTTCCCCAAAGTGTTATGACCTTTTACCCCTATTGAACTATTTGCTTTAGTAGCCTCATAGAGTATAATTTAAATTCACTCTCTTTTGTAGGAAACAAAATGTCTTATGCAGAGATAGATAGAACTAGGCAAAAAAGTAAAAGAACCTTCCAAGAATTATAGTGTATTGATTGACTTACTTAAATGACTACATATAGAATAGAATTAGGCTAATAAACCTTGAAGGGCATCTGTGTATAAGGTTAGATTGCAAAATCATCTATATACTCTAAGACCAAGGACCTGGTCCCACCAATATCTACCATTCCGAAGAGTGGTTATCATGAAAACATACTGAAAACTGGAAAGGGGTGAATATTCCTAAAAGGTGGTGCACAGATTAAAAATAATAAAGCAGAAGAATACAATAAAAGCCTTAAATAATTTATTTCTTTTCTTCAAAACTGTTTTACATGGTAGTGTGGAAGGGGGGCACTATGGCCTCAACAGAGAAGACATCAATTTCTTTCTGCTCTGGATATAGACAGGAACTATGATAACTGTTACAGGAACTCCAAAGTCCTAGTAGGCATACATGAAAATAAAGGGCAGTGGCTGTGATACAGAAGATACTTCCCAAGACACTAGGTGACTGAAGAGGAAAGCTTCATCATTTTAATCTGGTACATGCTAGGCAAGCATTAGGGCACAAGAGGAAAGTTTTAACTCCACAACTAGAATGTCTGTTTGAATCCTGTGGGTGGATATTTGATTCTCTATTCCTGACTTTCCCAGATGTGAAATGGGAATGAAAATAACATCCCCCCAAAAAAGTATAGTGAGAATAAATGACTTAAATAAAAAAATAAAACCTTAAAAACATTTACAATTTCTGGAATATTGTAAGAGATCAGTGAATGTGGGCTACTATTATTTTATTCAACAACACGCGATGATTTCATGCTAAGAAAGGATTTCCAACACCTCTTTCTAGCAAGTTCTAGTACTCTTGGGAACTATCAAGAAATATCGTTCACTCTCTAGATGATAGCTTACTCTTTTAGGGTTTTGAAGACTTAAATTTCAAAAATTAATAGGCCTTTATGCTTCATATTTGAGTTTATGGTAATTATCACCACAGATAGCTGGCAGAAGCTG